ATTCGCTCTGTTCCACGTCATCTTTTGCTGGATCGAATTGCGAGGCTCCAACGAATAGATGACACCTTAACAGATGTTCAGGCCTTATAAACATAAAGCCAAAGCCTCTCTTGGCAGACTAGGTATCATACTCATTTTCCCATACCCGCGGTCGGCTGTTATCACAAACCCAGATAAAGACGCCTCCCCGCGAGCGTGAACCACTGCGTTGACGAGTTTTTCAACGTTGTTTGTCTGTGACTCTCCGCGAAGTCGAAAGCGAACCATAAAGGTCATTCTAAATAAAGCATCTGCAATGGCATATACGCAGTGCCCCTCTTTGTCGGCTTTCCTCATGCAAATAGTTTTAACCTGGTTGTCACTTGCCCTAGTCCCATAGAGGTCATCATCAAGTGTTGCAAAGGTATACGACGGAGAAAGAAATACTTTGCATGGCATACTGTACGCCGCCATCTCAAACTCTGAGAGTCTGACAGTTTCATCTCTTTGGGAGCACCAAATACTCTCACCAGTATCGCCACGTCCTGTAGAAGAGAAAGCAAGAATATTTCCAGATAAATAGCGAACTAGAGATAATGGTGGTACAGGACAGTCTATCTAATGAAGCAATTCGAGCGTCTTAGAGATGCTGAACCCAGAGCACTGCGATAAAAAGAACATTACTAAGAAAGAATACATGTCTGCACGGTGAAGTTGACCAAGCCCGCAGTTGTTACTTACAATGCGCTCGTTTGTCCAGAGGTTACATTTTCGCACTAGTTCATCACAGAAAACAACTATGTAGCTCGATCGCGAATGCAATAGCTGTCTTACTTGTAGTTCTGTCTTCATTCTTTCGATGGTCGCTCTTGTAAATAGCCGAGCTCTTTCGGAAAGCACGTCCGTAATAAAGTCATGTTGGAGTTTTACAGCTTGGTCTCGAACCGTTTGAATTCTCCAACCCTCCGTGTAGTCGTGTGTTCTTCTCTGTGCCCATGCTCGACTTCCACGTCCCTCTCTGCTCCTTCTCCCGCGAGGGCGACCGCGCGTAGACGCCTGTCCGCCTTGACAATGCTCAATGACAGTGCCTGGTTGTGAGCTCTGTTGTACGCTTGGAGTGGGCACGTGTGTGTTACCGTCACCAACGGGTTGATGCGTTGTGCCTGTGTGGGGAGTGAGTGGTAGAGCGGGAGTGGGTGGTAGAGGGGAAGTAGGTGGTAGAGGATGGAAGTTTTGAAAGATTGAGCCATCTTCGGTGCCTGTGAGGGGAGGGAGTGGCAGAAGCAAGGGGATTTGTAAGATTGGGCCGTCACCTCCGTCAAGTGGCTCTAGCAGCGACGATGGCATCCTGAGATTGCTGGGGCGGGGTTTTGACTGAGGTTTCAAGGTCTGTCGGACAGATTTCGAGTGGGGAAGGGTGGTTGGTATGTGTTAGGAGCACGAAGAGATTCATTCAGTCGGATTGGAACTTGAACAAAAAGTGAACAGGTGGGATGCTCTCCACAGCCCACGCTTCCAGCCTATGCACTTGAAAATAGGAACACTACACTTGTCTATAAGATTGAATGGTTCAAAGAAGGTCTAAAATGAGCCTATATGTACGGTACACCGTACATAAAGCAATTTCCCAAAAAATATGCATTCTCATTTATGTACGGTACACCGTACATTATTTACATTAGGGATATGCAAACGCAAAATTTTACACATTTAGAGCATCACCACCGGTAGAATCAAATAACCAAATAACCAAAATTTGATGATTTGATGTGGATTGACATCCCCACTGGTCGGACCAAATCATCAAATTTTTGGTTCCGAGCCAAATATCGGAACCAAATATCAAGAATTTGGTTCCGTTTCTTCGTAGTTTGATACCCTGGACAATCCAGTTGTTCAAGGCTCATTGGTCACACGAAAGGGCTTCCCTCCAAACCCCCAGGACGAAGCGTACTATACAGTATTTGGTTCTCAGCGGTGGCACTGTTCTTTTTGCGATATCAAATTACCAAATAACCAAACCACCAAATTCCCACCAGTCAATTGAATTCTAGAAAAAACGTGCCAAGTGTTGTTGCTTGGTCGTTCGATCACCTACCGGCGGTGATGCTCTTAGCCACCAAATTTAGCCAAACCGATAGGGATGCTCTAAACGTGAACTCGCTCCACGTCACGCCGCCTTATCCAGAAGTAGCTATGTGTAGTGTCCTGTCTAGTGTAGTGTTCAGTGTCTGGTGTCTAGCCAACAATTTTCCTCAATTGAGGAAAAGCTGCATGATTTAATACACAGTTTTGGCGCGAAGACTGTAGCAATACCGAAACACCACATAGCCAAGAGACCGTATAGGTCAGTGCCCCGCCTTTTTTTGCAACCATTCCACTGAAGAAGTCTCGTGAATACTAAAACCCACCTGTTCCCCAGACCCTTCCACTCTTACGACTCCAATCAAAAATTTCGGTGGATCAGCGCCGTTCATTGAAAATGGGGAAGGACTCTCGCCTTAGTGTTGGTGCAGAAGTGCGCACGAAAGCCCGCTACGTCACCAGCGACGCTGAGTGTCAGCGTCGATACGGTTCCCTATGGAAAACAAGGACAGTGGCCGGTGTTGTAGAAAACACTCGACAGGAGCAGGGCAAGAAAAATCGTGTCACGTTTATTGAAAGAGCATGGGCAGTAGGATCACAGAAAATAAGAAAAGCTCTTCAGCTGCGGTTTGTTATGATTGGTTCCTGCCCAATTCCCATCCAACCGGACGGAAAGCCAGATTTTATTGGGCGTGAACCTGTACCTTTATCACCGATTCAGACTGCTCAAACACCTCCCCCCAACGGCGAAGCAGGCTGTTTTGTACCAGTAGGTTCACCAAATGTCCAGCAGCTCCCACATGACAGTGCTACTCAGCACAACTTGATTACAGAGTTTGAAGATACACCTGTCCCGTCCAACTCAATGCCTCACCGAACTGTCGCCCACACTTCTCCGAGTACAGTACCAACGGCGAAAAATTACAGTCTCTCTGATGAGGGAACGGTTGAGGTCCATGAAAAACTATGGCGCATGGATTCAGTACTTTCAGACATCAACGGCCCTGTCCCCGTCAAGCATTGGAAGGTGGTCGGTTTTGATGGGTCCGACATACGCGGCAGAGGAGCACCAGCAGGGAAAGGAATAGAATACTATTTCTATTCGATGTTTCCAATGCACTTTCTGGGGCGCATAGTGCAGCTGACATCGAATGACCTGCTGTCAAAGCATCAGAGAGGCACATCAGCTGGTGAGGTTCTACGATTTTTTGGGATTTTAATTTTAATATCACGATACGCCAGAGGAGATCGTCGGAGATTGTGGGAAGCAAGATCGGCCTCCAAGTACTTTACACGTCCTCCGCTTTCGAAGATAATGGGGCGAAGACGCTTCGAGGCCCTATTCGGCTCACTGACGTTTAGCTCTCAACCAACAGAGGCTGGATGGCGCTCTGCCCAACATCGCTGGGCTCTTGTCAACGATTTTGTTGCAGCTTTTAACGACCACCGGTACAGAAACGTAACAACATCCGACCACCTTTGCGTGGATGAGTCTATGATACGATGGTACGGTTTGGGCGGTGATTGGATTGAAATTGGCCTACCACACTTCGTGAGTATCGAGCTCAAGCTTGAAGGTGGCTGTGAAGTTCAAAATCTGGCCTGTGGGGAGAGCAGAATTATGCTAAGAATAGAAATAGTTACTGGTGCGACGGACGAAAAGGAGAAACCGTTCGAGGGAAGCTGTAACCACGGGACAGCTGTCCTCAAACGCCTCGTGAGCCCTTCGGTCTACTCAGACCGTTTCATATGTGCTGACTCCTACTTCGCATCTGTGCAGTCAGCAGTTCAGCTTCTACAGCTTGGATTGAGATTTATAGGGGTGGTAAAGACCGCCACACGGGCTTTTCCCATGCATTTTATAAGTCAAGTGGATATAGACGGAAGGGGACAGCATACTACTCTACGATGTGATATGCAGGACATAGGGAAATCGTTAATAGCACGGGCATGGGTGGACCGGAATAGACGATATTTTATCGCCACTGCCAGCAACAGCACCGATGGAAGTCCGTGCGATCGATGGCGGTGGCGTCAGACCAGCAGTGGTCCACGCAGAGTTCAGCTTTCCATACGACAGCCAAAAGTCGTGGAACGCTACTATGATACTTGTGCAATTATTGATCAGCACAACAGCTGCCGCCAGGATGACTTTGAGCTCGAACGTATGATTCGCGTCCAGAAGTGGGACAAGAGATTTAATATTGGAATTCTGGGGTTCTGTATCTTGGACGCGTGGAAGCTTTACAAATCAGCGCATGCGGAACAGTGCATGTTTTTACAAGGTGGCTTCTACGACGCTCTTTCAGAGGCCTTAATCGACAACAAATACGACAACGCCGCCACAGTCCGCAATCATAGCCCAGGTTCCTCGTTCGGGGAACAATCAAACTCTACAAAATCAGCTTCGCGGAGCACGTGTCTAGTTAGGACGTCAAAGCGTCGCAACATTGATGGCAACTACAGCAAATATGCATGACAAGGAAGATGTGGGTCTTGCAAGAGGCACAACGCAATAAAAGTTTGTAGTGTATGCCTGGAACAAGGTAATGCGTTACTTTTGCAGCAAACGCTCAGTCAGGGACTGTTTGCTGTACATGTTGAATTAGAGCACTAGATGATGCCATTTATCGCTCTAGTAGTAACTAAGATACCATACGGATCAAGAGTGTGTGGTGCGTTTAGTGCAAGGGTCTTCTCATCGCCCGTAAAGGGATTCAGACACATGCGGCTCAAATGAGGAAAACGCGTGTGCTCAATTGAGGATTTTTGATTGTCGGCTAGACACTAGTGTCTGAGTGACATGCAATTTGCCTCACATGAGGTCAAATCGAAACTTTATAAAGTCAGTTTGGACACCATTTCTTTAACGTTTATGCCATCGGCAGTAACATCTTGCAAAACAATGGGATACCAGTTGTGAATGCACAGAAAGATTAAGAATACAATGAATTATCAATGCTCTGTTGACCTTTTAAACAAGCGTTTTGGTTTCGAACGTTATTGTGGAATCACCATGTAATCCCCCAGCGCTCATTAGGGCAAGGGGGAATCTGAACGTGCCCGTCACATCACGCAGTCACGCCACCGCCGCCGTCGACCGCGGCGGTGCTTGAGGGAATACTGTATTTCAGTCCCCCGAACTCCCATTCGGGACGTGCTGCGTTCGGCAGTCATTTTGCTTCTCGCTTTATTTCGAGAGCGAGCTTCCCTGTGAGAAACTCACGGAGGTCTGACACAATCTCCTGGAGGGCCCTGCCTACAGGAATGGCTGACAATCAGGACGCGCCTCCAGAACAACCAATAGCTTTCATCCAAGCGCAAATCGAAGCGCTACAATCCCTAATTGCTGCAGGCGTCTCCACAGCGATAGACGCTAGGGATAGTAGCGCTCCGGCAGCCGCAAGCGCAGAGGCTCTCGACCCCGCCCCCAGCGAGGGAGCTCGTGCCCTCCGGCCGGAGGAAGACGCTACCGGAGACGCCCAGAGAAATAACGAGGGTGCAGCCACACCGGGCGGCCAAGGGGGTCAGGAAGGGGCTGGACCGTCTCCGGCAGGAAACACAGACGGTGAATCCGAAGATAAGGAATATCAGGACGACGAAGAAGACGACGAAGACCAGGAGTATCTTGGAGAAGGAGCCCTTGTCGCCTTTTCAAAGCGTTGGTACGAGAAGAATCGCCACAATCGGATCTCCCCGAGATTCTCCGTCCCACAGCGCTTCCATCCTCTACGCCCGGTTGGTTTTAAGCCCTAATCGATCGATCACTACCAAACGTTTGGATCAGGATCAGCTAGGACAGGAAGAGAAGAGGAGGCAGCTAACCTCTACTGTACAGCAGCTTACACAACTACCGTCAACAACACCGTCGTGAAAAGCCCCACGGAGCTCATCCAGAGAATCGGGGTTGTGGAGGCTCTAGCGGAGGACCTCCAAGGACCGGTCCCGGAGGTTTTCGAGGCGATCTCAGACGGCCAAATCGCCGTATTCGGCACGTACGAGCTCAACGCCTCCCGCTACGAAGTCCTCTGTGGACGACAAGGAGCAGCTGGAGTCGCCGACCCCGAACTTCTCTCAACCTTCATCTCCCCGGCTGCCGGGTACAGTATCGCTGGAAGGCAGGCATTCCGGCAGCAACAGCGACAGGCTGTCAAATCGGCGGCCATTCGCGCCGGGAAGCGAACAGTCGGGATCAAGAACCATCTCAGCGGTTCGACGCGCGCTGCAGGCGGAACTGGATCAGGCAGCGGCCGCAGACGCACTCACATCTAGAGAGCAGGTCGTAGGTGGGCAAGAGGGAACGCACAGGGCAGCCACTCCGCCCGTCGGGGAGGTAGCAAGGGAACTAAGTAATGATAGCCCCATTTGTTGGCGTCGGAGCATCCTACGCGGAGTGGGAGCGGATCGGAGCCAGCCCGTGGCTTTTACGGTAGATCAGGTTCGGGATTCAGCTCCCGTGGAAATCGGAACCCAGATTACAATCCCGATCGGCGTATTCCCTCGATCCGGATGGCGCCGACTTCGCTTCGAAGGAAATTCAGAGGTGGCTCACGCTGGGATTTGTGAGGAGGGCGACGCCCGTCGAGACCCAGGGGCTCCAGGGGGAAGGACGCGTCTCCCCTGCATTCGTGATCATGTCGGCCAGGAAACTGCGGCTAGTGGTGGACCATTCCGCGGTCAACGACGCCCTGGAGCAGCGAACTTTCAGGATGGATCAGCTACGGGACCTGGCGGCAGTTCTCCATCCGAACGATTCCCTCTTCAAGGCGGACATCAGCGACGCGTATTACCACCTGCGCCTCCGCCGGCGCGACGAAAAATGGCTGGCATTCAGGGTCGACGACACAATCTACATCCCTCTCTGTCCAAACTGTGGCTTGTACGAGGCGCCATGGTTTTTCACAAAGGCCATGCGGCCCGTCGTCGCCTTTCTACGCAGGAGAGGGCACCGCGTATTCCGTTATCTGGACGATTTTTATGGCGCGCCTCGGAGTTCTACCGCTGGGGCAGCAAGCCCGTTGGACATGCAAGCATTGGGGCTGGAATTCATGGAACTATTCTCAGGGCTAGGTCTCCAGCTACATCTCCACAAATGCCACTTTACCGGGCGCCGCCAGCTGGAAATCTTTGCGATCGTGGTTGACACTTCACGCGCGCTGTTTCTTCTAAGCGCCGCAAAACTTTCCAAGATCGAGACGCAGGCTCGCCGACTACTGCGATACGCGTCACAGCACCGTCGTTTCGTAAGGGTTACCGACATTCGTCGCCTCGCTGGCCTCAGAAACAGCGTCAGCGCAGCCGTGATCGACGCCCGCCTGCGCCTGCGTGAGTTGTTCGACTCCCTAACTGGGTCCGCAACCGGTCGGGCCCGCCTATCACACGCGGACATGCGGGACCTACAGTGGTGGGCTCGACTCAGCACAAACCCGCACCTCGGTTGCATTTTATGGCCAGCCCCAGACGCCTTGGTTTTCACAGACGCCAGCATGGGTGGCTGGGGAGCGACTTGGAACGGCATGGTCTCAGTGTCAGGCTTCTTCGACGCCTCCCACGAGGGCAGCCACATCAACGAGTTGGGGCTTCTGGCGGCACTGTACGGCCTGCGCCACTTCGTTCGACACGCGCGTACCCGGCAAGTCGAGATAGTCACCGACAGCAAGGTAACAGAACATATCGTGCGCAATCTCACGTCCCGCTCGCCTCGCTTACTCTCACGACTACGACAGCTGCGGGCACTATGCCAGGCACACGGCGTCACACTCTCCACGCGCCACATCCCCTCAGTGGTCAACACTTGGGCAGATCGCCTTTCCCGACGCAGAAACAGTCACGCTTGGTCTCTACCGCCAACCGTCACGCGCCTGCTGGGACGTCGCTTCGCTCAGCGCCTCGACATCGTCGACGGACACGACCTCCTCAGCTATACCCCACGCTTCACCAACCCAGTCGTGCTGCCTCGGCCCGCCTTGCTTCCAGTATGGGCTCGGTACCTACAGAAATTAGGTCGTGGCGTGCTCGTCGCACCCCACTCGTCAGGTCAGGCTTGGTTTCAGTCCACAATTGGCGCCGGCGCCACAGTCCTCAACGTCGAGAATTTCACGCCGCCCTGGCCGACCGTCGCCCTATCGTTCTGCAAGTCGCCGCGCGCAGATGGACTCTCGAGGGCTATGGCGCTGCGCAGGCGTTGATGCCGCGCGCTGCAGGGGCTGACACGGCCGCACACATTATGAGTTCTGGCTACGTCCGTTCGACGCAAGGGAATTACCAACGACACTGGGATAGATTCGTGACGTTTTGCACGGCACATTCGTTGGCCGCTCTATCCGTCTCCTCCAGCACCATTTCATCGTACCTCGAATATTTATTTGAGAGAAGCATCGTGCGCGGCGGATCTCTCCGTTCGTATTTGGCTGCAGTGGCTGCCCAACACATCCGCAAAGGCTACGGAGACCCTACAGATCATAGAATGGTTCAGATGGCGCGTCGCGGCTACCGCGCTCAAGATGCATGCAGAGCCACCGGGCCCCCAGAGCGATCCGCGCCGTTCCCGGCCTCGGTCGCCGAGACCGCTCTTCGCGAAGCCCTTGCAGTTCCCTGGCCTATTCACTCCCCGCGTGACAACCACACACTCCGCCAACACGGCCTCGTTGCACTTACGTTTTTGTTATGCGCACGCCCCTCGACTGTGGCTGCCTTGCAACGCTGTGACATTCGACTTACCCCATCCGAAGGACAACTGCATTTACGGCGTTTCAAGGACGCCGAGACCGGCGTTGTGCCCCGCATCGCACTTGGAATACCCTTCTCTGGGCCCACGGACCCATTCGCTACCTTACTTCGCCGGCTCGCGCACCTGGCGACCCACTCGGACGCCCACGTGTTCCCCCACTCCGCCCGACGCGCCGCTCCCGCTGCTCCGCAATTTTTAGCCCGCGCTGTAGCCGCTCTTCTCGCGTCCACCGGGACCCTCGCCCCTCTTGAGATGAATTCACCCCCCGCTCCGTACGAAGCGGGGGCATGTCGGCAGCGTACCCGGTGGGCCTCCCGCTACCACTCCTCATGAGGCTCTCGAACCACACGAGCCAAGAGGTGGTGTTGCGGCATTACGTCGATACGCAATGCCGCCGCACATCTTCCTCTCGCTTGTTCTTCGGGCGCTTTCTGACCTCCGGTGCTTCTCCGACCCAGGCTGCCCCACGATCATGGTGCAGTCTCGCATTTTGTGGCATCACTGAGCAGCCGGCCCCTTCGCGAGCGTATCCCTTAGGAACGGTATTGTGGAATCACCATGTAATCCCCCAGCGCTCATTCGGGCAAGGGGGAATCTGAACGTGACCGTCACATCACGCAGTCACGCCACCGCCGCCGTCGACCGCGGCGGTGCTTGAGGGAATACTGTATTTCAGTCCCCCGAACTCCCATTGGGGACGTGCTGCGTTCGGCAGTCATTTTGCTTCTCGCTTTCCCTCCCGCATCCCGCGTCTCACCGGCTGCTCGCAGCCCCTTTCGGCTTCTTTCTGTGTCGTTTTAGAAGGCAACTAGTGGAGTGTGTCTACATATCTACGTATCTACACGGTTATACTCTCCAACCTTCGACTCTAATTAAAGAATTGTGTCATCAGGCATCAGTGAGCAGCCGGCCCCTTCCCGAGCGTATCCATTACGCAGATATCAACACATAACGTTCTGAGGTTTGTCAAAAGGCTTCTTTTTTAGACATTCTAAAAATGCCTCGAAAAGACGTGCAGATCTCACCAAACTCCACTCTTCCGCAATGCAGAAGTCAACTGCGGTGGCGAGCATATCTTTTTTCTCTTGTCCAGCAAGCACAAGTCGAGAAAAAATAAGTTGAAAAGTGACCTCATATGAGACGAAAGTCCTAACATGAGTACATGTGTCACTCAGACAGTAGCGGATAGTTATTATTCATATCCTATGAGACAAATAACTTTTGTCTCATAGGATATGAATAATAATAATAATAATAATAACGTTGTCTAGACAAAATAAAATAACTTTTTATTTTTTCTAGACAACGACACAAGAGTTTTCCCTTCGTTTTGCTTTTCTGCAAAATGGCCATCACTTGTAGAGTTAAAGCACTTGTTTGTCGATTCTAACAAAAACCAACTCGTTCACATGAATAAAGGTCTTCAAAGGAAATGATTTGCTTACAGTACTCATTTTCCTTTAGCGAAGTTTACACAAGTACAGAGAGTACCTTCTCAATAGTGCAGTTGTGAGTAGTGCAAAACGTCAATAGTGCAGGGCAATACTACTTGTCACGACTTTTGACACATTATGCATCTCAGAAAAGCTAAGCCTCACTCCTGTAAACGTACCGTATGACGCTCAAAAGAGAACAAAAGTTCGACAATAGAGGGTTTACGCAAAATCAAATTTCGTTCAGAATTTCGTGGCCACGTATGTAACGTACTTCACGAATTATGGCCATACGGTGAACAATATTTGAGATTTCGCAATCAAGTTTCGTATGTATTGTGAGTATTAGCAATACATAGGAAGCCTCTGGGACGGCCCTCTCCGAACTCGGCGTCCGCGCCGCCATCTTGACTCCGTCCGCCTCCGTCACCAGCAGGTCCAAGTCCCCGGGGTGCCACGGCAGCTCCATGACCACGCACGCCACCGCAGCCTGGAAAATACGAATTCGCCTTTGCCGCCCCTGCGGCTACGCCCCCACCGGCCGCCACTTTGATTCGAAGCATTTCGGGTATGTAGTGTCGAACAAAAGAGGCTCTACAGGGTCAGGAAGTTCGATGATGGGAGGGGTGGTGTTTTTTGGGGCACAAGCGACTTCATCGGGTTTAGGAGAGCCAGTGATGACTGTTGCCATGATAGATGGCTTCCTGAAATATCCTGAAACAACTCTAGATGGTCCTGGTGCAGAGGTGTTTTGTTCTGTCCTGGGTAACATTTCCCACCAAAACGTACGACATTAAGTTCGTGTAGGAAGGCGATCGTAGCAAGTTTCGTGACCAAATTTCGTACGATATGTCGTACGATTATGCCACTTGTTCAACGGGTAGTACGTTTCGTACGTGGCTACGAAATTCTGGTCGAGATTTGATTTTGCGTAAACCCTCTAATCAATTGTGACGGATTCTTTCCCGCACTAATACTAATTTCCTTGTCTGTGTGTCTGTTTGTGTATGTGTGTGTGCACGCTCTTTCGCGTGTACCTATTGGCGCTACTGTGACAAGTGGCGGCCACGGGCGGGGCCTGGCCTGCGGCCAGGCCGCCCGGGTGACAAGAGGCGACAAGTCTAAATTTTAAAATTAAAATTACTGTGCGGACGGCGGGGCGCGGCCCCACGACAGTACCGGTTAACAAGTGGCGACAACTGCAAAAATTAAAATTAAAATTACTGTGCCGACTGCGGAGTAGGCCGCACTACAGTACACTACAAATTATAGCCCGGATCCGTTTAAACTGCGCCACGCGGATCTACATAGTGGGTGGAACTGGGGCGAGCACTGCGAGCACGTGACGGCGGCGTTGTAGATGGACGCGTACAACGGGGGGCGGACGCGTGAGACACGGGGCTGGCGGAGGTTCTGAAGGCTTGCTACGACGTGGGCGAGGCGGTGGTGCGCCGGCGGCTGTGCGTGGGGGGACCGAAATTCTTCAAGGCGGGGATGCGCAGCGCGTGGTGCTTCGACATTGGGGAACGGATGTAGATGCGTGGCGACGAGAAAGTGCGGGCCGGGGAGGCGACGGCCACGGTGTGCCGCGAGATAATGGTGTGCGGAGAGCGGTTTTGGGTGTGCGGAGAGCGTTTTTGGGTGTGCGGCGGCGACTTGGAGGAGGTGTGGGCCGGGGTGGCGATGGGGACGGTGTGGGAGGGTGGGCGCGCGGCGCTCGTGGCGAATACGTTGGGGCGCCGGGGCGGGGCGGGCAGGAGCTGGGCGGCAAGGAGCACCACACGTCCGCGTGGACGGGGGAGAGCGGAGGGCGGGGAGCGGACCAGGCCGGAGCTGGACGGCGTGGATTACTACAGGGGGCTTCAACCGGGCGCACGTGCCGGGGGCGGGGAAGCAGGACGGCGAGCGGGCGTCAACCGGGTGGCGCCGAGACAATGACGGACGTGGTGTGCCGGGTAGCAGCGGAGGCGGGCTTTTACGCCGTGGTGGGCGAATGCGGCAGGTGGGGCAGGCGTGCGGGCGCGATTGCCGACGAGGTGTGCATGCAGCGTCACGAAAAGCGGTTCCCGGCGGCGGCGGGTGTAGTATAATGACCGGCGCGAGCGCGCGGAGGTCATCGGACGGCCGTGTACGGTATACACGTGGGCGGTTGTGCCCACGTGTAGCGAGCGCGCGCGCGTGCCGAGCGGTCGTAATCTGGCGTACGTGTGCAGTAGTGCACATGTCGACCAAGCGGTAGTCTGGTAGTATTACGCGTTTACGCTAGCATACGTGGCATCCGTGCGGTAGTCTGTAAGCAGCTCGTGTGTACAGCAGTACACACGTGTAGCTGCAGCGTCCGCGCGGTAATTAGGAATTGAGTCGCTAGTTTTTTAATTGCGTACAGTACCTGGTACGCACTAGGTGGCAGGTACTGTGCCCTGGGACAGGTGTCCGAGGCGTCCCTCTGAGGTGTTAAGACCTGACACCCGTCCCCACCAGTAAACTGGGGCAAGCTCGCCCCCGTCCCTTTCGCGCCTACATACGTCCGTTTCGGTTGTCTATCGCGCGCGCTGGCTTCTAACCCGTTACCGGTCGCTCCCGTTTACGCACCCTGGGGCGACTGCGCGTAACCGGCCAGTGAGCCACTCCCTTCTCGCGAGCTCGTCCAATCGGTTCAATTAGCGCGTCGCGTCCGCGCCGCGTGCTCCCTCGCTAAAGCCTCCGCCTCTCACCCAACCCAGGGCGGAGAGAAGTTATCTCACAGCGGGGACGCTTCTGGAGCGGCGGACGGGCGACGCGCGCGTGTCGGTAAGCTGCGTGGGGCTGCTGCGCAACATGATCGGACGGGACGCGACGAAGAGCGCGGTGTGCGGCCAGATATGGCGAATGACGGGCGTGATGGGCGGTGGTGGCGGGGCAGACGGACGCGGGCGTGGCGGAGACGTTCTGCGGGCTGGTGGGCGGGGTGTGCCTGCGGCGCCCCTAGTAGAAATCAAGGCGGATTTCTGGCGAACAGTTAGCGGCTCAATGGCGACCCTGCCGTTGATTGGCGACCCAATAGTGGGAAGTTCGTGATATGTATGGAAGGGGGGTCCCACTGTATGGCGGACGAAGTATGGCCTGGGTTGCCATTTGACAGCCATTGAGATCCAGAACGTTCAACTGGTCCCATATGCTGTCCAATAAATCAAATTTTGCAGCCGGTGGTTTTTCGTTGTTTTCAGGACCTCTCATCATGGAGAGCTGTTACAGTAGAGCAACCTATGCAAAATGCAGATCGTGTATATTTGTCAACTGATGTACTGTATAGAAATACTTAACAGTATGGAGTTGGTGATTTTAGTGTATTGGTGTCTATTTCTCAGACACACCCGCTCTACGTCTATTTCCATGATTTGGTTCCCGAAATCTTCACCAACCATTTTCATGACTCTGCTCTTTACGAGGAAATTGTAGCTACCGTTTCCTATAACAACTCTCTTTTTTCAACTGCTCTCAGTGGAGCGCCCCAAGGTTGAGTCTCAGTTGCGAGTAATGCCTCTAAGCGTGATCTGTGCATCGTCCGGGATCCAGGGATCACCATTCAGTAGCCCCTGCTTTTGCCTAAGGTCGTCGACAAAGTAAGTCCTCGTGCTAAGTGATCTGGTCCGATTTGGGACCTGTGCTTCCAAGAGACTAATGGGATGGGAAATCGAGCTGACACCCTCAACTGTTGCCATGCTGAAAAGACAGGAACTTGATCTTTACCTTTTGGCGTGCACCTGTCCCTGCTTTCCGAGATGAAGCCCTGTCGTGACCCAACGAGCTACAACGAGTAGATGAATATCACGCTTGACGTGATGCTCGATGAAGCCGAGAGCTCTTCCGTAACTAACTTCCAAGGGTTTCTTTCCATCATTGCAAAACGCAGCAGAGAAGTAGCACGAGCTTCTCTCTGTTTCATCATCGTTCAACAAGAAGGAGCGATATGTAACGGGGCAGCCGTTGGCGGCCTTTTCGTCTGCCAGACGCCGCCAAAAGAAATCTGGGTCCGTTGGTAACACAAGATTGTTCGCATCGCCGGCCCCAATACCATAATATCTCTCGTAGTAGTTCCCCATCATCTTGCGCAAACCGCGAAACTGTGAATTATCTAACTGGAATAGTTTATGCGACTCCCGGGGATGTCTGAGGGAATACCCGTTATTCTCGACAAAATTGCTTGCCACTCGCAATCTTGGAGAGGTCTCCTCCGTTTCGTTGAGGTCAATATATGGGATTTTGATTCCTCTCGAAACACAATACATACGAGCCGCGGCTTCTGCTTTCATGTTCTCCGCCGCAGATTCGGCAAACTTGTACGTAGCGTTGCATCTCGCTTTCATTACACCAGTGAAAGTTTCCATTGTCTATTGAGCGAGAAGGGACAACGGTCCCCAAGACCTAATTTCATCTGCGAGATGAAGAACTAAATGAAGGACATATCGGCAAAGGCGGACACGGGTAGGATCGATGCGGTAGTATGTTGTGGAGAAGTGTTCAAAAAAACGCGAGAAGACTCTTCGACACGAGCCACAAGGTCTCCCCTCAGTTCCCACTGCGAAACGAGCTGGCAAAGCTGAACAAAAGTCCTCCACCCATCCAGAA